AAAAAAAAAAAAAAGTAAGGCACAGTTTAAGTAGCAGCTGAAGAAGGTCAGTGATTGGTACCCAGGTGGGTGGAGTCAAGTCTGTGTTCTTAACCCTGTGTTTTGGTACAAACAGTGCCTCTTTAGCCCAGGTAGGAAGTCTCAGCCTTTCAGCAAACTTTGAGGAAATCATCCCAATCTAGAAATCTGATTTTCCACATGAAGGAGGTTTCCTCCTGGGAGTGAGAGTTTATCACATGCCTCAAAGCTGCTGGAAGTTTTGTTACAGCTCATGGTTTGTGTTCCTGGCTCACACACACCTCCACCCCTGGATTTCAGGCTCTCAGAAGGCAAGGACTGAAATGTTGCAGAAAATTGGCACCCAATTAATTCTATAAATGAGCAAAGGATTAAATAAATAAATATCTACCAAAAAATGTGTAAAGCTTTCTGGAAGGTCCTAATCCCACAGATGTGGTCTCTTAGCTTTTCCATGGCAATGGCAATTCCAAGTTCTCTTTGGTACATGCTGATAAGAAAAAGAAAAATCCTATGTTTATTCTAGTCCCAACACAAAGTGGCTTTGGCTGAACATGCACAGAACAGCTGTGTTAACTCTCTCCATCCTCCTCTTTCCAGCCATCCGTCCAGAGTAATTTTATTGTCTCCTCCGCCTCATGTTAGACTATGTCCTGATCTTAATGTAGATCCCCCCCATCTTATATTAATATCCTAATCTCATCCCCACAAGTAATGTTGACCTTAATTCCACTTTTCAAATTGCTTAGGTAATTTCTTTTTCCCATGACCACGTCTGCCCTCTTCCTCTCACTGGCATCTGGAAACCTCCAGTCTTTCTGCCTCTTTATCAGCTCTGTTCACACGGAGGCCCTGGTGTGGAAATATGACAGAGAATTAAATGAAGCAGTCTAAGAAACTTTTAATGAAACCTGATTTGTTGAATAAATGCTTTAACACAGGCTTAAAACTAGCATCTCATTCTGAATTAATTCTATGTGTAAAGTTATCTACTAGAAACTTCAGGAGAAAATCTCTACTAAGATTAGTCAACCACAATCCTCAGTGTCCCGAGAAGATACAGATGCTCAGAGGCATATTTCTAGCCTGATTAAGCACCACACAAGTGACTTCGAGGCTCTTGGCCTTAGTAAAAACTGCCAGTCATTTTACCAGCACAAGGAAAAAAGAGAATTACAATCTGGGACAAACAGGTAGGCAAGTCCAGGGGACAGAGGAGAGAGCACACATTTTAAGGACAAAAGGGATGAGGTGGATGAGAAAATATTGGTTCAGAGCGAATGGTCAAGAAAGACTTCTTTTCTTTTTAAAGCACAACTTCCCTAGAACTTAATGTAGTTGGCTTTTTTCTTTTTTACTTTTTTTAACGTTTGTTTTTGAGAGAGAAACAGAGCATGAGTGGGGAAAGGGCAGAGAGAGAGGGAGACAGAACCTGAAGGAGCTGTCAGCACAGAGACTGACACGGGGCTTGGACCCATGCACCATGAGATCATGACCTGAACTGAAGTCAGACACTTAACCGAGTTACCCAGGCGCCCCAGGATTCTTGAGGCATCTTCAGTGTAAAAACATGGTTTTATTAAAGCACAGGAACAGGACCCATGGGCAGGAAGAGCTGCACTAGGATTGTAAGGAGGGACTGATTATATGGTCTTAGTGGGGATAAGTAAGTCTGTAAGGGATTTGGGAGCAAGTTTCCCAGGACTTTGAAGGGATAGCTCCTGTTAGGAAAAGGTTATTGACTACAGAGTAGTAAAATCTCAGTTATGAGACCCTCCAGATGTGTATCAGGGGCTATAAGCTTGGAGGATGATTGCCGGCATATACCTTGGGGCAGTTGAGATCAAGGAAGTTCCCAAAGGGATTGTTAAAGGATCCTGGGGGTTGAGATAATGTTACATTAAAGTTTTGACATCAAGGCAGCTGGGCTCCCAGAAGAAGGTCACTGTGCGTGTCTCAAGGACTTGTCAATGGGCTGCAAGTTGCAAAGAAAATTATTTTCTTTTGTCTTTGTTCCCCACATCACGTTGAGAAGGCTGTTATGAGCTAACAGTCCACTGGAGTAAACTGGGAACTTGGGAGTGTGGTGGCTTCTCAGTGCCTGAGCTGTTGGGAGAGGGGGGCTCCTGCTGGAGTAGCTGAATGGTTTCCACCTGCAAGGTCAAGCCCCCCTCTTCCTATCAGGTCTGCATTTGACCAGCAGTGCTGGGCCTGAAGCGCCCCTTGCCGGCCTCTGGACTCCATTGTGGTGAGATTTCCGTTACTAATTTTCAAAGGCAAACAAGAGGTCCAAGGAACCCAGAATAAAAGAACAAAGTGTATGAGTGCTTGGGTGCCCGGGGAAGCAGAGGATTCTTCTGAGAGGTTTGAACCACGGCAGAGGTAGCAAAATTAATAGGAGATATTCACTGATTTACTGCGTGCAAAGAGCTAAGGCATGTTGTGCATGATGGTGGGAAGATGTGGGAGGAGTTACATCAGGGACCTGAATGATTAAGGAGGAAGGTGGACATTATTTTAGGAATTCATGGAAGCTACTGAATTGGGAAAAACTGGGAAGTGGGACGCTTACAAATGCTTGAAGCCTGTAAGACTTAGGTCCCACGGGGACAGGCACTTAGCCATCCACCTGGTACAATGCTTGAGCCAGAAGTATTTACAGGTGTCATTCAAGAACCTCTGGGTTTTAGTTGCAAATTCAAGTCTGGCCACTGGTTCCCTTCTGAGGCACCCACTGGATAGTTAAGACACTAACGATGGCAGGGGTGGGGCAAGCTGAGGGCCAGGCACAAGCTAGCACCCTCTCCCCCCCCCCCCCCCCCCCCCCACCGATGGGATACGTGCAACATTCCTCAGCTTGCACCTCCCCCTCCTCAGGTGAGATGTGTGTGCTATTCCTCAGACAGCACCACTCCCGAGGTGGGATGTGTGTGCTATTCCTCAGGTTCTCCTGCTGCCCAAGGAGGAAGAACAGAAAACAAATAGTTAAACTGATATCATCTCCATCAGTTTATAAACATTTTAGTGATATCAGGGGAAAAGGGCAATCTTATCAGTAGCGTAATCTCCAGGAACTCCGTCTTATGTTGATGCTTTGCTAGGCGGAAAACAACCTTAGCCTGAAGACAGCCAGGCCTCCAGTAAGGAGTCTTCTTTAGCATATGGAAATCTCTTTAAGAAAATTCGTCTTTACTTTACCTCCCCCAGCTCTGTAGCATGTAACCAGTCACTCTTCACAACCCCAATGCAGCTCTTCCTGCGCATGGGTCCTGTCCTCGTGCTTTTATTATTTTATAATCACCTTTTTGCACCAAAGACGCCTTCAAGAATTCTTTGTTGGGGACGCCTGGGTGGCTCAGTCGGTTAAGCGGCCGACTTCGGCTCAGGTCATGATCTCACGGTCCGTGAGTTCAAGCCCCGTGTCAGGCTCTGTGCTGACAGCTCAGAGCCTGGAGCCTGTTTCAGATTCTGTGTCTCCCTCTCTCTGACCCTCCCCCGTTCATGCTTTGTCTCTCTGTCTCAAAAATAAATAAATGTTAAAAAAAAAATTAAAAAAAAAAAAAAAGAATTCTTTGTTGGCCATCAGCTCCCAATCCCACCATCACCCCAAAACCATGCATGGGGTCCAGCTCCCACTGCATCACAGAGCCAGGCTTCCCATTTCTCCCATGCAGAATCAATCCCTCACTCCTGAAGGGCACCAGAACCCACAACCAAAATAGGCCTCTTTGGCATATGGATTATTTCGAGCCAAGGCCGTTGAGGACCAGCGGTGCAGGAAAAGCGCTAAGCAAAGGTAGGCACAGGTCCCTTTGCATCTGTGAGGATGCCTCCCTCCCTAATTCCAAGAGGACTCCACAACTTTGATCAATGAAGTCATTGACTTAAATCTGCAAAACAAGCCTGTCTGTGCAGTCTGCTTTCATGCCTTCCCTGACTTCCTCCCCCAACGGGCTCAGAAGCCCAAGCCCCTTGCCCTTAGTGCAGCCTAGAATGGGCACTAGTGAGCTCCTAGGTCACTATGAGCATGATGCAGTCACTGTGGGAAAACATTTGTCATTCTCTGTAAGCCTGTCTCCCGCTAGCTGGAGACCTGGAGATGGGTAGAGGAAAGAGAGAATTTTTCTTCCCCCTGTCCCCACCGCTCTCCACACACTGGGAGGGAACATTCCACCAGCCCACCCTCAAAGCCTCAGCACGTTCACGGCAGCGGCTGCCGCCACCGGAGCCCGAGTTTATCTTCCAGGAGAGTCTCTAGTGTCTCCTATCTTACTCCACAGGCCATACGGCGGGCTGCCATATTGGTGACGGGTTTTGAACATCACAGCTGTTTGGGGATGAGTTGGGGGGGGGGCACCCTTTCTCTGATTTTCCCTTATGTTAATGGACCATGAAGTGCAAAGAATTCCCTGCTCCAAAAGCCTGAGTGAACAAATCAAAAGGCACCAGTCCAGAGGGGCCCGAGGTCACAAGGACCATGGCAGCAACCAGCATTGGCAGAAAGAGCCAGTGAGGGACTCCGGCTGGCCCTGAAGCATCCAGAAGGCAAGGTCTATCAGGAGGCTGCACGATCCATCAGCTTGGGGTGCAGACAAGCAGTATGAGGAGGTACCATGAACCGTCTCTGGAGGACGCAGACCACACACAGCAGGTGATGGGTCACTCTTTCCAAAGGCAGCTTCAACAGCACATTTATCCTGTCCCATGAGCGTTTTTACAGTGTGACATTCATTCCAGGACGTGGGGCCTGTGTTTCTGGCACTTGAACGTGCAAGGCCTTGGGACGGCCTGGACCAATGGGACGTGGCAGAAGTGACACCATGTGACTTTCAAGGCTGTGCCAGAAAAAAGACAGCTTCAACCTGGCCGGCTGTCTGCTCCCGTGTTTCCCAGGATGCACATCTTTGGAGCCCAGCCACCATGTCATGAGCAATCCCAGGCCACGTGGAGAGGCCACGCCTAGGGCTCCACCGGACCACCCAGCTGAGGTCTCCACTGATGGACATCACCCATCTTTGGGCCCTTCTGACGACCTCAGCCCCCAGCCTTCAGCTGTCTCCAGTATCTCCCCACTCTCCCCTGCGTGAGCTCCTGACCCACAGAAACCCGGAGATCAACAATTACTCATATTTTAAGCTGCTGTTTTAGGGCAACAGGTTGTGCAGCAACGAACACCAGTACTAGAAGTCTGGCTGCTGGCTCTACTCGTTAGCAGAGTGACCCCGGACCCCAGACCAGGGCCACGCTCTGCCCGAGCCACAGTGTCCTCGCCAGATGAGGGTCTCGAGAGCACGACGCCTTCCTTACAGGCTGTCCTGAGCCTCAGAGCTGTCACCTACAGACCTGCCTACCTCCTTTCTGCCTCCACCTACACCCTCACTCATTAGAGAACGTGCACCCAGGAAGCCTGTGTTGCTCGCTGCGCCCAGAGGAGCTCCTGCCCATGTGTTCCCAGTCAGAACTTGTTTGTAGAAACACCACCAACATGGCATAGAGCTCTCCCGAAATTCTCTGATAGTGGGTGCCCAGGCGGGAAGCACAGTGCAGCCAGGTGGGCAGTCCAAAGCCCAGGGCACTCCAAGCTCAGCTCCAAGGTCACACGCCTGTGGGAGAATCCATCCCCACAGAGGCAGGGCTGGAAGCACCTGGCTCTTCCAACTTCCTTCCAGCAGGGCATCTGCTCAGCTGGTTTCCTGATTCCCACAGCATTTAGCTCACCCTCGACCTCTGCAGAGCTGTGCAAAAGACATCTGAGGCAGCAATAATGGTCTTTAGGGTCTACCCTGGGGCTGGAACAGCACATTTTCCACACCACAGGCTTGCCTACCGCACAGGCTTCTTGCCTTTCCCTGAGAAGGAGCCGCTGTGGGAGCAGGGGAACTTGCAGTGCGTGCAAATGGCCTGCAGTGAATAATCACAGTGGACTGGTGTTCAACCATTGCTCTGGGACTTAACCCACAGCAGCTCTCCTGGGACTTCAGAAAGGCCTTCCGAACAGGACGATGAAGTGAGAGGACCACCCAGGCCTCCAATCTTCCACAAAAATGTGAGCATTGCTTTAAACAAACAGTACCAAAGGGAAACACAAAAGCTGAGCTGCAAAGAATCACTTCACTCAGACAACTCAGGGAATCATTTCCTCCTCTCAGAGAACTCAAGAAATCACCTGCTCCTCTCAGAGAACTCGGGGAATCACCCGCTCCTCTCAGAGAACTCCAGAAATCATCCACTGCTCTCAGAGATCTCAGAGACCTCACAGCGAAATTATCCGCTCCTCTCAGAGATCTCGGGAACCACTCACTCCTCTCAGAGAACTCGAGGAGTCAGGAGTCCCCAGGTTTCCTTGCCCTAATGGACCACTCAGTACTTTCTGTTCTCTGACAGCAGTTTCCTTGCCAGCTGCTCAGGGTTCTCAGAGACTGAAGGCAGGGGGTGCTCAGGGGCCGCTAGGCCCAAGGTCACCAGCACCCGCCATTCTTCTATGGTGCTTGATCCCTAGCAGGGAGGGTCCTCGCGTCTTCTCAGGCATGTGCCCCAGGCTCCAGTGAGCACCCAGCACTGTCACACACGTCCTTGAACAGCAGCGACAGTGCCTGGCACTCACCAGCATCCTCCGCGGGCCAAGGACCACTCCAGGCCGCGGTCCTGGCACCACTGGACAAAGGGCCAAGTGATGATGATGAGCAGGACGAGGCAAGGAGCTCCAGGCACCTTTCCGCAAGTGGTGGTAACGGACGCTCTGCCGCGACTCCAGAGCCCCCACAGTTACGCGCTAAAGTATCACTGACTGGTCGCGGCCCAATCCTGTCCTGCTTTGAGAGGCCCTCAGTGGACCAACAAAACCTTCCTCCCACCCCTCTGCTGTGGGGCCTTTTCACCAGCATGGAGCCCCCCCGAGTTCCCCTCCTGGGACTGAAGCCCAGTGTGTTCTCAGTAAGGGATGAGCTGATGAGTCACACTGTGCACTGGTTTATTGAGATTGGGGGAGACCCCTCCCCAAAGAGACACCACAGTGTGAAGGGGATGTCACCTCCTGCCCGGAGTTCCGTCTGTCCACCCGGGGAGCCTTCCTTTGGTTGGGATTCTCAACCATCACCTACAGGACACAGCCTCCCAACCTGCCCTCACTTC